AATTTTATTTTAATTTTATTTTAATTTTATTTTAATTTTATTTTAATTTTATTTTAATTTTATTTTAATTTTATTTTAATTTTATTTTAATTTTATTTTAATTTTATTTTAATTTTATTTTAATTTTATTTTAATTTTATTTTAATTTTAATTTTAATTTTAATTTTAATTTTATTTTAAATTTATTTTAAATTTATTTTATAGATTTTATTTGGAATTATGCACAATAAATGATCCCAGATGAAGAAATATAATGTACCTGTCTCTTGTAAAATTATATGTTTAAATAAACAAACTTTTCTAAATATCAACTTGTTTAATTTAAAGAAACCATTATGGAACAAATTTAACAAATTTTAGATATTCTAATATTTTCAAAAAAATTAACTAATCCTACCCTACTACACCTACTCAAAATACAACTTTGGTCAAAATTACAAAAATTCAAAAATTAAATATGATTAACCTTTCACTTGGTCCAATTATCAAAAGTACTAAAATTCTAACAATCTCTATTTTTATAATTGTCTATTTTTTTACAAAAAAACTTATTAGGAATATCTATTATTCCTTTTAAATTGCACAAAATAAAATGTTTATGAAATACCGTACTCACGGTCCTGGTACTTCTGATATCCAACCTTTTACTTGGACTCAGGTCGCTCCTTCATATCTATTGCTCACCATCAATTGCAAATCTTCCTTCTTCTTATATATTTTTTTTACTCCCTATTACTTTTTTATAAAGTTACTTGAGTTTGTTTATTTAAATTCTCCTTACATATCTTTTAGAGGTACAATTCTCGCTTTTAAATTTCTGACGTTCTTAATTTTTTTAAATTTCAAAAATTGACAACCACCATTTTCTTTCAACCAAATCAATATCTCATCTTTTTTAAACCCGATTCAAAATCAAATTGCTGTACAGGGTGTCCTGCATAATTCCAATATAGTCGATAATGTATAAAATATACTTTAATTTAAAAATGAAAAATTTATACCACAACAATATATATATATATATATATATATATATATATATATATATATGTGGATAAAAAACGCTCGAGATGTAAAAAATGCATCTGATGTGGATTCTCAAACGCGGCAATAAGTATAAAATAAATGAGTAGAGTACTAACTTTCCTTCTCGAAAAGAAGTCCAACATATATTATTAGTCTGCTTCTTCTTCTACGATACAGCTTTGCAACCCCAAATGTCATGAAACAGAAAATACACAGTATAAGTTTAATATAAATGAGTAGATTACTAACTTTCCTTCTCGAAAAGAAGTTCAACATATATTATTAGTATGCTTTAAATTGGAATTAATATGATGAGGCAGTGACCCGTAATCAATCATTCGCTCAATCAATCGCTCTCTGTCTATGTTCTACCATTGTATTTAAATCTAAATACAATGATTTTACTTTCTTGCACTAAAGGTGGGCAAGTGACCCGTAATCTATTATTCAACTTCATTATGAAGAGTGATAAAAAAATGTTTCTATAGTGCATTAATTTGTTGTTCATGTCATTATGTTAAAAGAAGTGTGAATAACTCTGTATTAGAAGATATGGTGGCAACTTCAAAAAATAAAAAAACTAGAGCAGGTGGACGAAAGTACCCCTTCTCCCCCCTACTCACAGAATGCGTAAATAATTCCACGGCTTATTTAAGAAATGTTTTTTGTGGATCGCTTTATTTTTTATACAGCAAAAAGTGTCAAATTTCCATAGACCGAATTAAATAAAAACTAAACGGCATTTGTTCACTTATTGAAAAATAAAACGACCGAGAAAATTCGTCGTCAATGTTAATATCACAATATTTGAAGTCATTTATACCCGTTTATTCGCATAAACCCTATACATTTTTCTGATTCACTCAAATTCATAATTTGTCATAATACATTTATTATATACGTATAAATACCTAACAAGTCTTACCTTGGATTAGGTAAGTTAAGCATCTGGTTTCATGTTAAATACCAGTAAAAACCTTTTTGTCGAATGCACATGGTTGCAATAAAGACCTCGACAAATGTGGGGTTGTTCACGCTATGCTTTTTTTTTAACAAAAATAACGACTTATGCTGTTGTTCCTTATTGGATTTGATTTGTTTATGCTCTTATCGCATAAACGTTGGTTAATTCTGAGGAAAAACTGGAAAATATAAAACGGTTGGATTATTCCTTGTTAACATTTATTTATTGAGTTAAATGTTATGAAAAGTAAAATAAATCGTAGTTATTTATGTACCAAGTCAGCAAAGTGATTCTTTATCGAACTAGTCTGAGATTATGAGCCGAGCGAGAGAAGCGAGCGAGAGAAGCGAGCGAGGCGAGTAAAAGGCGAGTTCGATAAAGACACTTTGCTGACGTGGTCCATACAAACTTTTTTCGCCAACCGTAAATAATTATAAATAATAAAACAGGAGATATTATAACATCATATTTTAGTATAACAAATTAAACAAACAACAAAATGTTGTCACAAATAAGTTACAGACTATTTCTGTCAGACAGTCATGACTATGTTGACAAATATTAGCAGCAGATAAAATATTTTATTTTTACAGTGATATAAAGTGTTTGTTTACTTTCGCAAATCGCTATGGTAATGCACGGCTTTATTGACGGTTGACGATAAAAATATTTTACTATTTCCAAGTTGTCGCTCAAAAATCAATATGGGGCCCTTGTGTATGAGGCATCTAATTTCTAAACCAATATTGTTAATAAACCGAAATATACTTACTAATTACATCAAATCAGCACTTATGAATCTTCTTAACCTAAAAAATAGCCCTATGGAACTTACATCATAATTGTAAAATAACCACAATATATCCCCTGAGGGGATATATCATGAAAATAACTTTTATTATGATATATCCCCTGTGGGAATTGACTCTGCCGAGAAATATGTTCATAATTTCAAAACGTACCAGGGCGGCTATCCTCGACAATCGCTAAAAAAACGAACCGTTTTCGAAAGTGAGTGGTTGAAAAGCGAGTAGTTTTTGAAATCTATATTCTTGACTGGCGTTCGATAAGCATTCGTTTTTTAAAACGTGTACGTTTTTAACAAGCAAATAATATATCTGGCATCACTGTAAACTGTCTATATCGCTGAATTCAAGTAATGTGCAGGCCATAAAAAAATAAGGATTATGTAATTTAATTACAACAAACCAATTGTAAATTTATCGAATGATGATTTTTTCTAATCACATAATATATCAATGTTCAGGATAAACTGAATCGTTAATCATTGGCGGAAAAACAGCTATACGGGTGCTGTCAGTGTAAAGCCTTGGTTTCTTTGAACACTTCGTCGCGGTGAGCGGACAGTCCGTCAACCGTCGCGTTTTGACGATTTTTTCCAACTAGAGTATTTAAATGGGAATGGTTTTCTTGAATCCGCTTAGCTTAACAGAACGGCGTCATGCCGCTGATTTGTCGCGAAGAGTCGCTTGATATCTGTTGAGTTTGATATCAGCGGAATCGTCGGCGTGTGCGGAGACTATATTGTTATTAATTTTAAAACAATGAGTGACAAATTCACACATACAGATGACATCATGACTTTATTTTTAGGTTTCTTGGAAATTATGTCCTTTATAAAACTCAACACGAATTCAAAAAGATCTGTAGAAAGTCTAAAATACTCCCTAAATTTGGTTTCATTTCCAAAAAGCCTCCGCTGCACAGTGATATTAAAGGCACCTTCTGTATCGCGACACAAAAACAACTCATTCACTGGCTTATTGGAAACTTTGACTGCACTTGCCAGTTCCTCTTGTTCTTCCTCTTCCAACAATAATAACAACGCAAACAATTTATTTGCATCCATTTTAGTATCTTTCGTTTACATTCATAATACATAAACAGCACGTACAGACAGAGAAAGTATCATTTTCTATATTTTTTAACAAATCAGTCCTCAGCGGTCGACGGACTGTCCGCTCACCGCGACGGAGTGTTCAAAGAAACCAAGGCTTAACCTATAATTCTAGGAAAATCGTACGTCATAAAACCTAGTTTTTATGATACAAAATTAACTTAAAAACTTTGCTAATCTCATTCAGTTCTTTAATATCTTGTGGCAATTTTACAAAATTGTTAAAATTTCTGGACACAACGTGTGATATAGAAGAGCTTTGAACTACCGCTTGCAAGAAACCGCAAGCAAATTATTATCTATAAATAAAACATACAATAATTAAATTCTTACACGGTAAAATATAAAAAATATTCATTCAATATCCATTAAATTAAAAAATTGGATTCTGCCTCTGCATGTTTGAATCTTTATGTTATGTTGAGAATGGGGTGTTAATACACTGCGATCTAAAAGATCTATTGTGCCCCCTTCTGTCGCCAATGCACTAAGGCAATGTCTCAATGCCTATAACGACCCTTCCAATCCTATTTTCTCAAAGAAGTGTACGATTTGAAGTGGCTTCAAGTTAGGTAAATCTCTGCTTTTAGCATTCTTATCTTCCAAGTTTTCTAATTGTACTAATTATTGTATTAATTGAAAGAAATTCTCAGCTATTAGACTTTTTTAGTACTGCAAACCATATTTATAAGAAATTAGATACTTTTGTAAGTATTAATAAAACGTAAAATTTGTTAAAATCAATCAATATTATTAAGCATCCTAAAAGTGACATATAATTGACATTGATTAAATCCTTGAAAACATGCACGTTTTATCACAAACGTGTGAAAAATTCCGCTCGCTGTAAAACACCCGTTTTAAAAACGTACACGCTTTTAAAACGAATGTCGAGAATAGCGAATAGCTCGCATGTTACTAAAGCGTATACGTTGTTTAGAAAACGATTGCCGAGGATAGGGCCCCAGAGACCTGTACTTAAAATTCAAATAAATAAAATTTCTCTAATTTTGGTTTTTAAGAAAAAAGTTATATGGCAAATTTGTTTGATTTTGGTAGAAATTACATCCACGTATTTTTATTTTGTTTCAGATGTCCTAATATGGGTCAGCAGCCTTGGATGCTGGTTCGCATGGCTGCCATATTTTTTATGACTAATCAAACTCTAGCTTTATCGGATATGTAAGTACTATTTAAATTGTATGAAGTGATCCACAAAAAAATTTTTAAAGTAGGCCCTGAAAAAAGTCACACATGTCGGAGTATAATTCCTCTTCTTTTTAACTTTATATTTAATTCAGAGCAAAGCCGTGCCTAGTTATCATGGACATGACTAGAACTCTGGCTTTGTCGGTCATGGCTTACTTTAGAAATATTTTTTTTTATCACTCTTTATAATATACCGGGTGTTCAAATTAAAGTGTTACAGTTAAATACCGCCGAAAATATGTATTTTAGAAAAAGAAGTTTCAGACAAAAGTTTTATAGTTTTTTGGGGGAAACATTTTGGCTAAATTCATTTTTTTATAGCTGACCATAATATGGCCATATCGAGATGGACTTTGTTTTTTTAAATGGGAACCCCATTATTTTTTTACATATTCTTAAAGTACATAAAAAAATAAGAAACTTTTGATGGAAATATTTTTTTTATTCGAGTTTTACTTTTTGAGTAACACCTACTTGAAAATTTTGCTGGACGAAAAAAAAGTTGACCATATTATGGTTAGTTATAAAAAACGATTTTAGCCAAAAATTTTTCCCAACAAAACTATAATACTTTCGTCTGAAACGTTTCTTTTATAATAGGTGGTCTTTAGCTGTAACACTTTAATTTGAACACCCGGTATATAATATCAAATATTTATTTTAGTGGCCCCTAATTAATTGAAGGTTCTTTTTATAAACCAAAGTGCACTTATATTCGGCAAAATCACAGCAAAGCTAAAAGATTTAGAAAAAGTTCAATTTCAGTATTAGTATTTTACAGTTCTAACGAAGCTATATTTATAAAATAAATTCGCGTATACAGAGTGCTCCATGACCACAGAACAGATATGAATGTCATTCTTGTAAATGTAATACCCTGTATTGTTTTGTATTATTTTTAAATTTCTATAGACTTTACAATAAAATTTTCTTTCTTGAAATCTTTTGTGGAATTGTCGGAGATGATTTTTTTTAATCAGTAGGTCAAACCAAGATAGTAACCTTTCGCGTAAATATCTCCAATATTTCAAAAATATATCCAATATTTTAAATTGTCATTTTTTGTTAAATTGAACACCATATATTAATTGTATCGGTTGAAAGCCCTATAAAATTAACTTTTAAATTATTATGTTTTACAGCTAGTCGTTCTCGAATAAGCATTTAAAATGACAGCCTTATCTTTTAATCTGTTTAATGTATGTGATTTGTTTTGTATAGTCTTGAATATTTTAAATTTTACTATTTCAATTGACTAATATTTGTTTTTCAAATATTTTTAACTTTTTATTACTTGTAAACTTTGTTCCTTTTACAATTTATTTCACCCCACATTTGATGAAACTTGTTTTGTAGTATTCCCTAGTGGATGGGAGAGTATGGCGAGCCTGAAGATGAAGTGATGACACTTCGAAACCGGTCGCACTCAATGTTTTGTTAAATAATTAAACATTGACTTTCCTTGTGAGATATAAAGGACTTTTTCTCCCCCTTCTCCTTAAAATTACCTCAACTCACACATGGCTACCCCCCTTGTCAATTTAAAATGACATATCGCACATATCGCACTGTTTTGATTAATAGAAATTATCTGATATCGCCCTTGTGGATTTGTGATGATAAAAATATCTCACACTTCTAGCATAAAGGATTTGGCATAACGAAACTAACAACTATAATAAATAATTATTGTAACTATAATACTTATCCTTAGAAAAGTCATCTAATAATTACTTGTTTACTGTTCAATACATCCATTTTTGTTTATAATAATTATTTTATTTAGAATTTACAAAACACTTATTTCTGTTTACTGTTAGAATTTCTTTAAAGGTTTGACACAAGCCTACTCTTCATTACTTTTTAAAAGGTTTTTCACTCTTATACAGAGGGTTTTATAAGGAATAGCCAATATTTTAATCATAGGTTGTATTGCTGACAATTATCTGTATATGGAAGTGGTCTTCAACAACTTAATTAACGTGAAGAAATTTTTTAAATATACATACGAAGAAAAGAGAATTAATAGCAAAAGGTAGGCCATTATCAGACATAAATAATTGTAGAAAAAACTGGTGTAAGTAGAGGAAAAAGTTACACACGAAAATTTAATAGAGATATTTATTCCAAAAACGAATGGATCTGTGGATGCAACAAAAAAAATGTCATGTACTGTTTTCCCTGGTTACCTTTTTGGTGGCGATAAAGCTTGGATGGAAATAGAGGTCATCGATTTAGAACACTTAAGTTTAAAGATAAAAAAACACGAAAACTCCAAAAACCATCTTCATAATTGCATGGAATTTGCATTGCTAGGGACAACTAATATTATGGCTCAATTAGATTCAGCTTATTAGTTAAATATACAGATATAATAAAAATATGTCAAAGAATAGGTATATTTTATCCAAAATTATTAATTATATTAAGTTTTGCGGAGCTTTTCAACTGACTCTTCGGGGACATGATGAGAGCAATTCTTCCGAGAATCCAGAGATATTTCGTGAACTCATAAATGTGTCGGCTGAATTAGATGCAACTTTAAGTGACCACCTTAACAATTATTCGGTATTTAAAGGCACCTCTAAAGAAATACAGAACGATTTGTTACAGTGTATGGTCGATGTCTGTCATGAACAAATAATTAAGGAAATTAATAATTCTCCATTTTTGGCGATCATGGCGGACGAAACAATGGATATTGCTGCAAAAACTCAACTGGTAGTTATGTTCCCAATGGTGAGCCAATTGAACGTTTTTGGAACTACTTAATTTTTGAAAAATGTGATGCAGACTTAGTAAAATAATTTTAACTTATATTTCCTTTAATTCAAAATTCACCGAACAAACTGATTGCACAAAGTTATGACGGAGCCGCGGTGATGAGCGGCCAACCCGCAGGAGTTAAAAATTAATTAAAAAAGTATCCTTTTGTTTACCAAGTACATTACTATGCCCATCAGTTAAATTTAATTATGTCTAAAGCTGCTTCTGCAAATTTGCAAGTATGTGTATTTTTTGGAAATTTACAAGACATTCCGGGCTTTTCTAATAATTCATCCCAGCGAGTAGAAGTCTTGCACAAGATTGTGAAGAGAAGGATTCCCCACGGCGCTACAATCCGTTGGAATTTTAATATAAGGACCATTGACGTTTTGTACGAAATTAGAGCATCTCTCAATAAGTGTATGCATGAAATAGAAGAACAATTCACCAACAATACAGTATGTAGTGCAGCCGCCTCTATTCGCCGTACATTAAATGATCCGATCTTCAATTTTTGGTTGACTTTTTTTCATCATGTGATGCCCCACGTAGACATCCTATTCAATCAATTACAGCAAAGAAAAATTGAACCCACTTTAGTAAAAGACGCTATCGATAATTTTGAACGCAGTATCACTCAAGTTCGAAATAATATTGATACCATTATTATTGAAGCATCAGATTTAATAAGCGATTAGCCACCAGAAAATAAACTCAAGCGCCCAGGTAATATCAGATTTGATCAACGGATTTCTGCTTTAGAGGTGTGTAACGTTATCCTAAATTGTGCAAAAGATCGATTTGATTTTAAAGAACATCTAGTAGTTGCCTCACTTTTTTTTCGGAATGCTTTGGAGAGTATTGTGGTAAATTTCCCAAAGATAAATTCACTTTCGCATGCTCTTTTTATCCCTCACTTGAAAAAGAACGATTGCGAACTGAACTGTCTGTTATTTATTCAAAAAATTATTGCGGGGCATTGAATGAAGCACTACCTTTACTAAAATTTTTAATATCAAACATTCTAGAAGATACGTTAAAGGCGGAGTCGGAAAATCGGGCGCGGCCGTTCGGGCGCCGCTGTACGGACGCGGGGTCAATCGGGTCAATCGCGAAATTTTAGTTTTCATAAAAATAAAGAAAAGCCCACTGGTAATAGTTTCGAGATTTAGCAATAAATATAATTCTCACCATAGTAATAGAATTATTAATATATTTTAAGAGCCTACGTTCATAGTGTTATTTTTTATTTTTATGTGATTTTCTTATATAAATGCTACTACTTTTAAAAATGCGTATTCCGGACGATGTTATGATGTCGTTTTAGTTTCTACCATGCAAAAATAACTATTTTAGTTTTTTATTATTACTTATCCCTAAATATTTTTATTTATTGCTAATAATTTAGGAAAAGAGTGCAATACAACACATTTATATTATTTCTTAAATATATTCAATAAGTACACCAAAAGCAGCATGTTTTGGGATTTCTCAAATCTTTTCCTAGTTACCTGTAAATTACTAGGGGTAATTTTAATTCGTACAAGTACCCCATTAATAAATTTGCAATGGATTTATACCCGTGCAATTTAATATAAGTACATCATTTGTTTGTAATGAATCCCTTATTCCTCAAAAATTTAACATAATATTTGTATGTAATCCCTTATTTCTCAGATAAGTTAACCTTGAAATCTTTTCACTTAAAATTTATTATCTGAGTTGGTAAGGTGGGGATGAACATTACTATAACAGTTTTCTTTTATAACGACTGTGCCACCCTCACGTTTATTTTGCCTATCTGCTATTTTTCGTCTTCCTACAATTATTATTTTAATTCTGAGTACTCGCTTCTGATGATGGAAGTGGTTTCTAAAGCAGAAAAGAAAAAATATGTCAGTAATGGATACTGTTACGTTTTTGACAAATTAAGTGTGTGTTCAACTAAAGAATATTGGCGTTGTGAACTTAAGAACAATGGGTGTAAACGTCGTATCCATATATCGAATGATGTAATAATAAAACAAATAAAACAAATATGCATTTTTTACGAAATCAGTAATGTTTCTTTTAAACTTCTTCACTACAAAGTGTCAACAAATATAACAAAAGTCATCAGGCCTATTTTTATAACACCAACTAGACATTTTTTTAATAGAAAGTGCACAACGAAACACTGATAGAATTCCATAGACAACGCCTGTCTCAATACCACAGGGATACTAAATATATCGCCCACAGATCAATTACTTTATATCGCCCTCTTTCCTGAATAAATCGAGTCTCTGGGAATCCCCAACAATATTCTAGTAAGTACCGGTAAATCCCCTTACAAATGCGCAAATTGAAACGAGGTTTCAACGCGTCTCAACGTTTTGGACAAAAATGAGGAATTCAAATTAATTTGTTTGTGATGTTGAGGGATAATACCCTTGATACTGGTTTACAAAAAAAGTTTACGTGATAGAATAAAAGGGGGGTTATTTTAGCTATATAGAAGTTGTAAATAGGTGAAAAAAAAATCAAATGGCTAGATCACAAAATTTTCGCGGGCCTGTGTAATCATTCCCACGACAGTAACGCAGCAAAAGTAGAAGTTGACTGCTTTCGTGGTAAAATAAAAATTCGTGCTGGAGAAATTATGGAACAAATGTGCCAAGTAATTATTGCATGCCTTAATGAGGCAGATTTGGTTGAAAATTACTAAAATAGAAAATATAAGAATTTTTACGTGGCATTACACACAATTATCAGATGAATCCATAATATATTTGTCAATAAAAAATTATATATTTATATCAGCAATAAAATTTAAAATTTTATTATTTTTTTATATAATTGTTTTATTTTTAAACTAGTATACAGTTCCCGAAAAGATTGGTTTTACATTACCATATATTCTGGTGGTGTCAAAAATAGGTCGATTGAACCTTACTGTACAAAAGTACAAAGTTACATAATGTTGAAGTTAGAAATTAAAATCGATTTTTTCCAATATTTCGAAAACTAAAATTTTTATTGCCTTACCCACATAACATCAATGTTCTATGAATATACCAAGAACGTTCTGTTTAAGTTCTTTTTAGTATATCCTTCTAGAATGTTCTTAGAACATTCCTAGAATATACTTTGAAAGTATATTCTAGAAAGTATATACTGAGTACGTGCCTTAAAAGTGTATTCAAAAAAGTATATACTGAGCACGTGCTATAACAGGACATTCTTAGAAGGTACTAAAAGTCATATATCCAGCATGCACCTCATATTCTGAGAATGTTCTAAATGCTTGCAGGTAAAAATTAATACCAAATACATATAAAAACAAGTTTATATACATATCTATATGATTTTTTCCAGATGCCAATCTAATAATTCGCTACCAAACGCACTAATGTTGAATGTTCAGACTATAGAACATTCTCTAACTAAAATATAAGAAAAGAAGAAGAATAACATAATCTACAATTCCAACAAATTTTTTGATCTCGTGTGTTTGTATTTGTTTGTAAGAGGTAAGTCAATTAATAAAAATTAATTGCATCGTATGTTCTATATGAAAATAAACAAATTTTACTATATTTATAGTTTTTAGGACCTATAAGTGACGTTATAATACAGGATATCCCAAATATTAATTGCTAGTATGAATTTATTAATATAGTTAATACTAATGGTGGATTGAAACTAAAATACAGTGTTACCAGATTTACATACAATACACACTTTCTATGAAAAAAATCCTGTAAGGCCAGATATTGACCTGGAAGAACTAGAAAAGTTAGCTAAAGGAGGACGAAAACTACAAAATGGTGGTAAGTAATTAACAAAAATATATTTAAACTTTCAGTAAACATCATAATCATTTATGTAACTCTTGTTTTTGTTAGTGGAATGCCATGTACAATTTTTAATGTTTTATGTTGGACAAAAATATTTAAAATATTCCATTAGCTATGTCTTAATTTCTATATGTACCAAGTTTGTTAATTTTTTTTATTTTTTAGGTTCAATGAAGATCCAATGGAATCAAGCAAATGATGCTCAAGCCATTTATACAATAAAATATTGATTGGTTAAGGCCGAAGATAGTATTTGTAATAAAAATAAGTATGAATTCTTTGAAATAAAGACTCATTATATACACTTATTCTTTAATGTTCAATATTAAACATCCTGTATTAAGGTGTCTAGTATATGCCTAGCATATGCTATATTTAAATACTTAGCATATACTTAGAACGTACTATCAAATTAAAGTAGATACCTGTTGCATACTGTACACATACTTGAAGTACATTCTCAGTATCTGCATAGCACTTATAAACAACGTCACGTAGTATATGCTTAGCATATTCTGAAAATGTACCAAATGCAAATACAGTATATTCTCAGCATATGCGTATTCTTAAAAAGTATATACTAAGAATATGCTAAGAATGTATAATTGTTATCTGGGTAGGCCCTAGATAATAAATGATATTCTCACTCTCCGTTGCAAGGCTTGCTAAATTCCCAGTTTATTAGACTATGTATTTTGACGTTTATGAAAAATGAAAAATGATTTAAAAATGAAATGTTAAACACAATTTACAATTTTCAGTATGTATTATTTTTATTATTACATTTATAATACTTGCATAGGATTTCGCGGCCGAGTTCCTGGCGCCCGAACGGTCGGCACCCGAACGGCCGCGCTTGATGGTCTCCTCGCCTGATCGCCCCCGCGCCCGATCGTCCCTGCGCCCGAACGGTGGCGCCCGATCGGTCGCGCCCGAATGGCGGCGCCCGAACGGCCGCGCTCGAATATCCTAAACCGCGTTAAAGGAGACTAGAAAATTATTAGAAATTGTGATAACAACTCCTATGACAACATCAGAGGCCGAACGATGTTTCTCAACACTAAATCGAATCAAAACGTTTCTCAAAAATTCAATAACCGAAAATCGTTTAACAGCTCTTTTCGTACTATCTATTGAAAAAAGTTTATTTCCAAAATAGACAATTTTAATGAAAAAGTTATTTTTTTTTCTCTCCTGGGCTCGTCTGACTATGTGTCTCCGAATAACACTGAAGCCTATTGGCTTATTGTGTTTTACCCCATGTTAAAATGTTATTACAAAATTTTCGAACCGAAAAGAACGTAGGATAGACTTAATTTATAAATAGAATCTGTTTAAATTGTTCACGTCATTTTTTTAAACATTTTGTACTTTGCTTGAATAAAATAGAGTACAGTTAAATAGTGCAATCGTTTCAGCAATCCATCATTCAGCAAGCACATAAAATCGATGGTACTTTGACTAAGAAGACAACCCCACTGAAAGGTAAGGTTTTTTTGCAAAAATTGCAGAACGCCCTAAAATTTTTAGCACGAGCCGTCACTGGTCGATAGTCTTATATTCTCTTTTACATCCCGTGCAGAGTGCTGATTCTGATAGCCCTATGCTATGGAGGTGCTTCCGTATTAGCAACGACCAGTCAGAATTCTTGTAATAAGGCGCAGGGAGCACACTCTATAGTCGAATTTAATTTAGAAATAATGTATTTTCTTTGGTGCTATATAATACTTTTTCTGAATCTTCTAGTTTAGCTGCTACGCTGCGGGCGGAAATAGTTGGTCCGCCCATTTTATCTGAAATCGTCTTTAGATTTGTTTTTTCGTTGTTGTTTCAGATTTGAGGAAGGGAAATCTGACAAAGAAATCCTGGATAATCTTCTAAAAGCAACGCGCTACGACAAACGACTCCTGCCACCAGTTAGAGGTAAGTCAGTTGAGCATCCCTTTAACTGTTATTGTGCGTGCTTGGTAGACAATGTTTTTTAGACGAAATGATATGAATATGAAAACTGATGTTCGCTGTTGCTATTAATGTTATTTTACCATGGAGATACAATTATTTCGTTCGTTTGATAGTTTTATTTAGTGGATTCTAATTCTTACCAGCTAATGTTTAATCGTTTACTGACCCTTAATAAATTTTTCATGTCGGACTTTTTTAAATAGACATATTCTTAAAATAAAGATCAAATTAAACATTGGGATGGGATATATTTCGAGATTTATTTCTTCCTGTCAACGACGACTGCATAAAATTAGAAGAGGTGCATACCCATTTACGTTTAAAATAAGTTTCCTTATTATTTATGTTTATTTTATTTTAAAAATAAAGCAATTTATTTTATAAGATCAATCCAGTTTTATCCAGACCAATTAGTTATTTTTTTTAAAATGTTGACCTATTTTTTTTTAATTTAATAATAATATATAAAGTAGTATTGGGTAGTAGGAGTAGGTTACCATATTCAAAAATCCAATTTCCTGACATTTCTAATAAAAATTCCGGATATTTCTTAAAAAATCAGGACAAAAACTTTTGAAATAATTACTTACTAAATGTTTTATAAAAAAAAGTACCTACCGTCAAAAACTAAAAAGAAATAAAAAATAAAAAAATTCCTAAAATTGAACATAAAATATTCTACAATACAAAGGGCATAATACACAAACATAACTACACAAGACAACAACAGCCTTTTGCATATTTACATAAAACATAATTTAAACAGCCAAAGGATCTGTTTATACGAGATTTTAAGTATACCTCAATACATATGATGATTTTCCTAAAAATTTGGGACAATTTGTAATTCCCGACGCAGTCTGGACAAAACGTCAAAATTCCGTACTTTTCCTGACTCCTGGTAACTCTAAGTAGAAGGGTCCAATTACAATAAGAAAACAGTGCGTCATCCCTTAGCTGTCGCCGGCCGCCTACTGGGCTTAGTGGCGTGTAGGAATATTGGAATTAGTTTTTTAAATATTTTACTTATTCTTTATTTATTGATAATATACTTAAAATATATTTAAAATTTGTAATAATGGTAATGACGTAGTAGTGCCCTTCTCATTGTAATGAGGTTGTGTATCCGAAATTTCAAGATTATTTTTTTTCATATTCAAAACAGAAGCAAAACAAAGATTTACTTCATTTATGAAACGTAATGCAGATATACAGAGTGACTCATTTGAAAGCGTAATTTTTTTATTTATGGACCGTTTTAACTAAATTTTGTTGATATGTGGAGGGGGGAAAGGTGTATTTTGGAGCTAAGTGGCGTCCAGTTTCTTAAAACCCAAGTCCTACTAGATCACATTCAGAGGCTAAAAAATTCAGAACCCATATTAGCGAATGGAATCAACGTCCTCTGAAATAGACCTGTACCAAGTTTCATAAAAAAATATTTAACATTAACGATTCTATGTCTAAATTACTGACAAGTTCTTTTTTATGAATTAAGAAGCGTTTTATCCAGTAACCCATTTGATAACAAAAATTAATAAATAGGCCTTTATTAAAAAAAAAACTGGACACTGCTTGGCTCCAAAATACACATTTCAAAAAAAATTCGTCAAAATCGCTCCATAAATAAAAAAATTATGAGGGTGGCCTGCTTTTAAATGGGTCGCTCTATATGTTATGTAATGTTGGGAATGGGGTGTTAATTCACTGCGATCTAAAAGATCTATTGTACCCGCTTCTGTCGCTTATGCAGCAAGGAATGTTTCGATGCATATAACGACCCTTCCAATCCTATCTTCTTAAGGAAGTGTAGGATTTGAAGTGGCTTCAAGTTAGGTAAATGTCCCTCTTCAATAGAGCATATCAAATATGATATGCTCCTAGGAATAGTGCCTTTAGATTTTGGATTGCTACACAGAATCAACACCCACTTTCTTCTATTGTTTTCAGTTTACTAAGGTGTCCTTTTAGTCGGCAATACCCAGTAAAAATTCCTGTTACAATGCGTAGCCGGTTCTTGCTCAGGCAGATAAAGCTTTCGATCTTTTCTGGTTATATTCACCCAGTAATATCTCACCTTGTCTTGGCTCGAAGAGATTGTTCCAGTTATCTACTGCCCAATTCTTTTTTTATCTCTCCTAATATTGTGTTACTGCAGATACCGCAGAACAGCTCAGATTTCACAAAGGATGTTTTCTTGCGAGACTATCTGCAACCTTGTTATCCTTTGCTCCATTATATCCCGAGACCCAAGTGAGTGTAACTGTATTTTCCCCGCCTAGCCCAATCAGTTTTTGAGCTAATTACGTAAGAGCTCAGCTCTTTGATAGCTGCTTGACTATCGGATATGATGATAATCTCTTTTGAACGATACTTTCTCTCTGTGTTAAACTGAATGCACTTCTCAATGACATGAATTTCCGCATGGAAGATGCTTAGGTATTTTCCCAAACTTTGGTTCTAGGCTCATACAGTCCTATTCTAGTTTCTCCTCTGGCTTCTTCTTTCGGTTGCAAGCACGAAGCATCCATTCTTTCTTGCAGCCCAGGTCTGTGGTTTTAAAGTTTTTCACAAAACTATACTTTTTTCTCATTTCATCCTGCGGCATATCCCAAGCATCTTCGGATTTAAAGCTAATAGACTGATTACTACGTTCCTGATTATTCTATATCGTGTCCTTTTTGCCAAATTCTTTATCATTAAGTGTAGAGAGGTGAGGCGGTTCTCATTGAACCGGTGATGCATACACAGGTTGGATCATGTACTTTTGAGATATTAGCTCTCGTAGTAGCTAAACTAAATTATAGCCCCATAAGTGATGATTGGTCTCACTATTGCTGTATATACCCATCGCAGTGTGTTAGGGTTACAACTCCATATTTCTAAATATCATTAGGGCTTTTGTGTCCTTATTTACTATTTCCTTCCCATCTATTTTCCAGAGAAGTTTGATCCCAGATATTTGATTTCTTCTTTCCATTCTATCCTGTCTAATTTGACTGTTTTAAAATTGAGTTTTCTTTTTCTTGAAAAGGCTACTAGTTTTGTTTTTGTGTAATGCATATAAATGTCACTGATTTGTTAAAATAAAATATTTGCCACTGTCGTATTTGTTGTGTTATGAGATTAAAAAATACAAAGTTCATTTATATTTTAGGATAAAATGGTTGTTTTGTGTCTCAATTTTGATTCACTAGTAAGAGAATTACTAATATCTCAAAACTACATGAACCAACCTGTGTATGCATCACCGGTTCAATAAGAACTTGCCCTACAGCCGCACCACCTTCCCAACCCTCTACACTAACCGTCCAATATTTTGTCTGAATCATAATACTGAGATGGGGATAGGGTACAATACATAATGATGTACTGTTTCGGAAGGGGTTTAATTATATTATTTTATAAAAATAAAACATTTTTCAAATTTTGGTAACCTGCAATTGGTCTTCTTAATCAAACATGAATTTACGGAAACAATTTTTAATACTTATACACAGGGTACCTATTCAACAAGCCGTTCTGTATATTTTCTTATAGATTAAAATAGCAATTCGGTTTTGTTATTGTAGTCTCATTGATAAATGATACATGAAGAATAAATAAAAATATAAAATTCAACATTACCATATGTGTACAATGTTTATAACAAAAGCGATACAATAATGTAATAAAGCAATCAATATTTTTACAATTTTGAATAGAAAGGTAAGTAACTATGAACATGTTAAATTTTAATGTTTTACATCTAGAAAAAGAACATTTTGTGTAATATAACTTTTATATAAAACCAGTTACTTAAAAGTAGACAAAAAAATGTGCAAACCTGATCATAATACTATAGAGGATTATTATTATGAAAACAAACAATTCTTATAAAAGATTCAGATTACAATCTTAAAACAATCAAGCCATATTCCATATACCTATAATTAATATTCTATGTATTTTGTAACAACCACATTTTCTCAACACCTAAAAAGTCTTAATTAATTTGTATACTTCCTACATAGGAGAAGTTCTCCTTTAAGTATTGAAAATTATATTTTAAGTTTTTAATTTGAATAAAAACTGATGAATATCATTACATGAATATTGAATACTGATCATGATAATGAATAAGAAAGCAGTTGGTGCTGAATTTAAAACCAAATAGTGTCTTTTATTTTGTCATTGAAACTAAGCAAAACCTAATTCCTTATAAATAACAATTTTTCTTTATTCTTATTCCATGTATTTCAATAAATAATAAAAATAATAATTCTACGGCCATGGCTCCTCGTCAATTGGGTCAAACGTAATGAGAAACGACAAAAAATGATGGGCAGTGTAAAATTTTTCATTTTGGAATAATGGATATGTCAATTAAACGGCATTACGTTGTCGTTTAAATAGCCCGACAATTTTACGGAAAAAGGGAAATTGATACGTTTACATTTTTAAATCGGATCGTTTCGGTTTTCTGAATAATATACGCATCGATTCTGTCACCAGACATGTCCAATAATTCAAACTTATAGAATAGCATGGTTATCCTTTTGAGAGTTTACAAACTATAAAAGAACAATTTGAATGATATAAATTTTATTTCGTATCGCGAGAACCATACATTTTTAATGTCGACAACCAGCTGTGGTTACGAACTGAAAACTAACAACTATTTCTACGCTTTAAAATATCAAAACCTATTTTAATAGTAGTATGAAATTAGAATAACGTTTGGAAGTTCTTAAAAGTAATAAATTATGCATATATAACATACATTAGTTGATATTTTTGTTTGTGAAAATGAGTAACAATCTATATGCTGTTCAGTTTTAATTTAAATCGGATATGACCACTTTAAAATATCAAAACCAATTTATTTGTCATCTCTTATAAGTTGTTAAATGCTTATGTTGTTACAAATTCAGCTAAAATAAAAAGGTCACATTAAGGCTTAAAATTGGAAAAATGGTTAA